GGGCATCATTTCGGAAAATAAAAGCAACCCATGCACAGGCCTAGTGAAGTACTTATGGCGTAACACTTAATAAAAATATGTCTGCTGTTAATTTTACTTATCTTAACAAAGAAACAAGGGTCTTTTCAATAGCTGGTAACTTGGATGGAAATGTGTGTGTATGGTATACATTGTGTGGAGACTCGACAACTGACCTTACAAAAGAATCTGATAAGATGTGAGTTTTCTAATTGATGATGTAGAACTTTTAATCTAGAAATCTCACAGCACAATTGTTCTGTAGACATGTATCTTGGTGTAAAGTTATCCAGACCGCTGTTTATCAGTATGCTTTGCTGCCTCTTGTATTATTGAGTATTGAAGATCAAAATGTCAACTGTCAAGTGGCTTCTGTACAGTGGTGGCATAACGAGGAATCTATGACTTAAAAAAAACACAATCAGTCAAGTGTATTTAGTGTTGCTGTTTTCAAACGTTTGAATAAAGTTGCAACTGGTTGTCATTTTGCTTGTAGTTATTTGATTGGGTATTTGATGGTGGGAAATAGGAGGTTGCAGCAAATGTCGCTGAGTTCATCCAACAATCACTGATTGAAGAGGAACAGACTGAGAGGAAGTCAAGCCTTGGACCGACAGCAAGCTAAAGGCATCAGTGATGTTTCAGTGCCCCCTTCTGGAAAATTTGTCATTGCCAATAGAGGCAGCCTTTCCCCAGGAAAGTCGAATAACTGTTGTTACTTCTTGTAACCGCAGTATTGACAAATTGCAAAAGAAGAGCTCCCACAGCATCCTCTGACACCAACATCTGCTCTGCCCTTTTCATCTATTGGCTCACAGGGAATAGGGAAATTACAACATATATATTATTTATACAACATTTATTTACCAAATACTCCAATCTGCAAAAAGCCATGAGGCGGGTTTACTCTACATGTGTGAAAGTCTCAATAAGATCTTTTCTTGACGTTTTATATACCAAACAAATAACTGAGAGAACAGGTGACAGATTAATTGATAATGAAAATAATCTTTTGTTGCAGTCCTATAGATGGGACCAAGCTGCAGCAGTCTTCAATGGCGTATAACACCATTACTTAAATTAAGAGTTCATATAATATATTGCCATATTTTTCATATTCTTCATATTGTCCACTGGAAACTTTACAGCTTGACAGTGCCAAATTAATGACACAAAAAGTAAAGTTTAGTGAAGTCCTATATTATAATAGATATCAAATGTTATGCCTTTTTGGCTGCAGAACAAGTGTTGAAATACCACACATCCTCCTTCATTTTGTACAGTTCCAATATGTTTGTGTATAAGGGTGGTTGAGGAAGTGGTAATGATAGAAGGGAAATGTCTCAAACATTTGGTTGTGTGAGTGCAAGGGGTGGGGTGGTGTTTCAAATTAAAATGTACAAGCCAGACAGGGAGTTTTGCAGCCAGAGTCAGCTTTGAAAAGTCCAAGTGCATTAGGCTACCACTAGGATACTATTAGGACAAGTCATTATTCATCATACTAAATCATACCCCACTGCAAAAATATTTATCTTTTGTAAAACTTAATTCATTCTATCCTGATCCACAGACAATTAGTTGGCTACTAATTTTACATTTTCATTTTTTATTTCAAATGTTTTCATTCTGAGGCAGCATTATTATTATTATTTCTTCTGAAACAGAAATTTGCTCTTAATTCAAGACCATGGGTTCACATTTAATATTTGATCTCTACTAATAAATACTTCTGAGGAATTAAATATCTACACATAATTCTTCTTCTTTGTAGGTGTATTTTAATCCTTAAATCCTCATATTAAGTAATTTTGTTTACATTTGAATGCTCATATAGTGTGATAGAGTAATTTCTAAACTGTTAGGAATAAATAAAGTTTTTTGAACGTCAACAAATGCCTTTCCTGTTTTTATTTAAACGTTTTAAGTGAAACTGAAAGTCTGACGTGGTTTTTCTGAGCAAACGACACATTTGAAAAAAAGGACAATTTCAACGTCTTCGGGAAATGTAGTATTTAAGTTAATAAAACAATGGACCTGATAGGGCACAAAAACTACAAGTACCAGTGTATGCAATTTATTTGCGCATGCGCACACCCGATGAATTCGGACGGAACAAGGTAAACTATTCTGAGCCGTTTATGGGTGCAACTCGGTACAAGTCCTGCTAAATCTGCAATCATCCGATAGTATAGAACGTTTACTGGAGAATATTCAACCCAGATCATCTTAAAATATATCTGGTAACGTAATCTGTATGAGATTTATCAGCAGAAGGCAACAAGAGACGAAAATAGTGCGAATTTATCTGCTGACCGGAATCGCTTCTGCCGTTTGACCTAGCTAACGCTAGCGGCACAGATCGGGGCCCAGGTTAGCAACAGATAACAAGGGATTTTAGCCTTTCTGTCTTAGTTTGTTTTACACACAACTCAGCGTGATGGCTTGTGGGGCTACCCTGAAAAGGACTATGGACTTCGATCCACTAATGAGCCAGGCTTCACCCAAAAGAAGGAGATGCGCCCCGATCGCGTCTCCAGTCTCTTCGCCACAGAAATATTTGCGAATGGAGCCCTCTCCGTTCGGGGAAGTGTCGTCCAGACTCACCACAGGTAAACATTTAAACCTACATTTTTATATTTCAATGATATCTAAATTCAGTATGTTAAAACCAGGATTCATTGGACACTGAACAAAGTTAGCATCCCCCTTTAGCATGTCTGGTAATAGCAGGTAAACTTAAGGTTTGTGATGATGGTGAGTAATTTAACAGATGATGCACACTGATGTGGAGAATGATTTACAACGTCTCCTAAAATGACTAAAGTCATGCTGTACCTCAATATATCAGCAAGGCCACGTGGAGGTATCAAAGGTGTGCATTCCGCAGCGGCTTTGTGCCCACACAATTGAAGCCCCCCTGTGCAAAGATGCCTCTTTATATAATGGCGCAAATGTTTTTTCTTCCCGTTTTCAGAGGAAATTTTACACAACATCAAACAGGAGTATAAGCGGCTGCAGAAACGGCGACACCTGGACAGCAGTGCTTTCCAGCAGGCGGACAGCTGCTGTCCTCTGGACCTGCAGAACGCTCACAGTGGACCCGCCCTACCAGGTAGCTACCATCTTTATGAGGATATTGATCAGTTTTCTTCAAATGCATCTATTATACACCAATCATTTTACTGATCAGCTCGAACATCAGTTTATCAAGATCTGGTTGGTTTAGTTCCTGGTTATGATGACAACATTTATGCTATTAGCTGAACAATGCACATGGTTACATGCCTTCTTCATAGCCATGTTCTCCCGGAGGGTAATTTGATTTGGCACACCCAGTTACTCTTGACTAACATATCCATCCTCTTTGGCGTCAACAAGTTAGGATGTTTTACTTTTGATTTGCCAACAATCATGGGAAATCCCATATCCTTCAACAACTCAAGAGTGAAAATAGTAGCGATGGAAAGCCCCTTATCCTTTCACTTTTTAACAACCTCCCTCTGTGGGAAAAGTCAAATGGACCGATGCTCCACTGGGCAGTGTACATCAGGTATTGCAGATTAATGAGGAGCATAACTATGTTGCCGTACCTGCTTGGCATTATAACTGGACAATTTGTGTGTACTGTCTATAGTATGTCGCAGTGTTGTTACTGTGTTAAATGTCATGTGTCTAGTATACATTGTATGATCTTAACTCTCCGAACAGGGACGTCTTCCGGTGCCTCATCTCCCACCAGAAAGGAGCAGCCTTTATTTTCCCTCAGACAGGTCGGGATGATTTGTGAAAGACTGCTGAAAGAGCGAGAGGACAAAATCCGTGAGGAGTACGATGAGATACTGACTACAAAGCTTGCAGGTATGGCTATTATTATTTAAAGGTATAGAAAACTATCTGTAGAGATTAATCCATACCGTGTGCCAATGAATGTTTACTCTTCCAACAGAGCAATATGATGCGTTTGTCAAGTTCACCCATGATCAACTGATGCGAAGGTTCGGAGAGCAGCCGGCCAGCTGTGAGTATATTTATTATTTTAAAATCACGCTTGTAGCTCATTAATGGGTCTCTACGAAATTTGCCTCTGCAGTTTTCTTAATCAGACACTAGGAACATTTACAAATCATTATTAACAATGTGTCATAAACTGTGGATGACTGAAAAGACAAAACGTTTAAGTAGGTCTGAGCAATGTATTGACATTAAACCGATATCCTGATATGAAACTGGATATCGTCTTAGCTTTTGGATATCGTTGTATGGCACAAGTCTTTTTCTGGTTTTAATGGCTGCATTACAGTGAAGTGATGTAATTTTGGAATCCACCGGACTGTTTCCAGCTGTTCTATTATTTGCCTTTTCACACGTTGTCATTAAAGCTACATTACTGATGATTATGAATCAAAGAATCCCATTGTGGAGATACTTTGTGATAGCATCAATAGTCAACCCTACAAAATCGTGAATCTGGATCAAGCTATTTGTTTCAAAATATATTAACATTTGATTTTCTCCATATCGCCCATTTTAGGAATAGAGTTGGGTGTTTTTAATTGCTGGTTTGGAGTTGGAAGCCAAATTTGTAAAAACTGGACATTTGTTAAACATTGATTCCTGAAAGCAAAGTTTGGTCCAGCTGTTCTTCTGTCTACATCAGCTGTTACACAAGACTCATGAGTCAGTCACTGCAAGTGTTTACATTTTGCACAGCAGATGGTATCTTGCTGTCAAAGTCGTGGCTTAGCGTCACAATTAACAGTAGGGGTACAGCCGAATGTAATAGTGCTGGGGGAGTGACTTGACTCTCTCAATGAAACAGTAATTTCTGCTTTGTGCTGTAAAGAATGCTGCGTTTTCAATAGCGTACACTCACAAGTCACAGTGCTTAGCTCTCTTCTGATATGATATGAAATGTTCTAATATTGAAGCGTCCTCATTTGTCCTTTTGTCTTATTTGTCCTCCACAGATGTTTCCTGAGTGTCGGCGTCTGATATCGAGGAATGCAATTTTCTGCAGGCTACTCCAGGGACTCGGCCTGGTTGGACTTTTCTCCTAGCTGTGCCATATCGCCTCTATGTGGACTCCGTTTGTGGTATCCACATTTGCTGTGTCTACCAGAGTTAGGAGGGCTTCCTGCTGCCAACTTGTTTAAGGACTCTCTGCGACTCTACCAGTGGCCTCTTAACTGCCTCTTAACCATATTTATTTGGCTTTGTTCTGATGCCTTCGTAAAAGGCTGACTGCCACCACACACTTGGCCTTTTTGATTTGATTTCTTTTGTTAAATTTTGTTATTTCACAGAGAGGATGTTAGTTGTGCAGCTTCTCTGTATGTACATTTTGAAAAAGGGATTGAACATTGACGAGTGGATAAACCAAGACCGCCTTTAGACTGGGCTCCAGGAACAGATATCTTGGCTTTTTCAGCATTGTTTTTAAACTGTACTGGCAATTACTGTTATTACATTTGTATACACTGTATTTTTTTGCGTGACTTTTGTTTATTGTACCAAAATTTCTTGATTTTATTTGCTGTAGGTATAAAGGGGCTTTGATTCAAGAAAAGTAAATAAAGTGTTTACACAAGTATTTGGGCTTGTCTTAGTTTTTCTATTTATGACTGTAAGAAGGGATCAGACTAATCGTATAAACTTTGATGTTTTCTACATGGTTCCTCCACCATACTGTTATGAATTTTGTTTGTCTTATCTTAAATGTCCGAAAAACGGAAGTCTCTTTCCACCAACTGTCCCTGTTACATAGAATAAGTTCCAGACACTCCGGTCAATTATCACTGGGACCATTTCTTCTGTAGAGAATTGTAACTATGAATTAGCCTGAAGTGTGTCAATGATTGGAAATCTTACATTTTTTAGGAATAAAAACAATTTAAAGTAGCTGACCTGACAATAGGTGGGCTTTTAGAGTATAAGCTGATGGGGAAACGAGTGTTACTCCAATAACGGGGCAGGATTGGTTGTTTCAGTTTCAAGCATTTGGTTTTATTTGAAAATTTAGGAGCTAAACTTTTGACACCACCTACAAGAGAAAGTATCTTCTTAAACAGGAGGTGGAAGCTAGAAGTCTTTGAAAAGTATAAAAAGCACTCTGCTAAAAATTGCATTAATGATGAACAGGATACAACTTACAATGCGTACAATTTACGCCAAATTGCAGCAATCCTCACCCAACAGTCTTGATGAATTTAAACTGAGTTTTTAAACCCCGAATAATTCATAACAAGGTTGCTTTTCAGACTTTAACTTTGACCGTAACTTATTTCGTCATGAATTGTAATGTTATAGGACAATATTTAAGGTATGAAACCGAAATTAAGCGACCGAATAGGCGATATTCACCGTCGGGAGCAACGGAGAATATAATCAAACGAACCCATTCTGTCAGCGTACGAAGCCTGTGATTGGACGAGCCTACCGGAAGTAGTGTGGCTAAGGCGGAAGTAAAGAAGCTATGTGAATGGATCACACAAATTTTGCAACACGTTTATAAATATTGTGTTGTTTTTAACGTTTAACGAACATGGCTTGTTTCTTCAGAAGAACAATAGCAGCAAAGGTAACGAAGCAGGAAGATTACACTGTATGCTAATGCTAATTTAGCAGCATGCCTTGACCCTGGAGCAAGTAAAAACAGAGGATTGCAAGACTGTCTGTTGATCCTTGCATATGCTCTACAAACTCATCACATGCTATTTATTTAAATGTTATACCTCTTCGTGTGTCTCGTGTGTAGCTGGGTCGCACGCTGCAGCAGTCTGAGGATGCCTTCATACCAGCTCTGTCAGCAGTTCCAGTTTTTAAGAAACAGTTAAGTTCGTTTAACTAACTCCATTAATCCTCTGGTGTGCAAGAATGAGACTAAGTCATCTGCTCTATGTGTGTTAAAGCTCCCTGAACGTGTTCTCCTCAGGCAGACTGCTGATTTCAAACTATCAATCAGCCCATTACGGATCAGAGGGATTTTACCATCCAGTGGTGACATACAGCTGCAGACTGAAGGCTTGGCCTCTCGGGTAAGATTCATCTTGGAGGAAGCATGGGTGAAGGATAAAACTTGTTTTGACACTATGCTGTTTTAAGCTCACAAATAGACTGCAATTCATTATGCTATAAATAGAAGACATGCAAGTGGATGAGGACAAAGGTTTGTTTGGTGCCAAGGCAAAGAAGCAATAAATTAAGTGTCATCTCTCATAACATAAGATGCGTTTGAAACGTGTAATATAAAGTTTTCCTTGCTCTTTCACCTGGAACCAAAATCACAAAGTTAACTGAATATTTCCTACTTCATGTTTGTAGATGCACTCTAAGTCTATTCTGCTTGATATAATCCAGAACTTAAAAAAAACAAAAGGGCTTTTATCATCCTTAAAATCTCCTCTGTATTTGTCAGTTGGAGCAGGACAGTGTGGTGGAGGACATATCTGCTGGGCGTGGAATGATCAACTTTAAAGTGAATCGCAAACTTCTTGTCCAGGTTTGTCAATTTTCTTTTCCGCGCTGGTGAAAACGGTCGTCCTGTCTGCTTCTGTTGTGATTATAATCCGTTTGAATCCCTCTGGTTTAGAAAATGTTGGAGCCGTTTGGAAAGGACGAGGATGAGAAGTTTGTGTTAAATAGTGAACTTTTCAATACTCTCAAGAGAGGAACAACATTAGTTGAGTACAGGTATGTTAGTGTTTGTATATCTTCCTTCAGTACATGCAACGTCTTCACTTGTAGATTGCCGTCAGTCAGAATGAATGAGTTTTTATGTTGCAGCTCTCCAAATATAGCCAAAAAATTCCATGCTGGACACTTAAGATCCACAGTTATTGGTGAGTTTTGGATTAAATTTGATTTGTTCAGTAACTAAAACCAGAATAGTGATGAAGATTAATATGCAAGTGAGTTGTATTGTGAAATGACAAGAAATAGAAGTATAGAATTGCCAAAAAAATGTGTTTTGAAATAGTATTTTACCCACAAGAGAGTAGTGAAGTTCAAAAAATAAAATAATGTCTCCATCTCCAGGTAACTTTATTGCTAACCTAAAGCAGTGCCTTGGAAATGACGTTATTCGAATGAACTACCTCGGAGACTGGGGTATGCAGTTTGGTGAGTAAATAATGTGCAACATATTCAACATGTGTCCTCTGGGGTCATACATGCTTCTCTTTGAGTGAATTTTATTGACAAAACTGTTTTCCATCTTTGATTTCAGGTCTGCTGGGAGCTGGGTTTAGTAAATTCGGATGTCAGGAGAAGCTGAAACAGAATCCCTTACAGCATTTGTTTGAGGTGACTTTGCATGGCCGGATGAAGACACACAGATCCTTTACCAAAGAGACATGTTAAATGAGTGTGTGTGTTCGTTGCTTTTGTCTTGCAGGTCTATGTTCAAGTAAACAAGGAGGCAGAGCACAATGAGGATATGATGCAGGCTGCCAGAGACTTCTTTAGACAGCTGGAACAGCATGAGAGCGAGGCCGTGTCCTTATGGCAACAGTTCAGAGAGATCACAGTGGATGAGTATCAACATGTTTACAAGGTACGACTAGCTGCACTGAATAACAAGCATCACCAACCGACACCACAGTCCCAAAAACCGAAACTTAAAATAAATATAATCAACCGTAAGATTTGACATTCGTTTTTGAATCTTTCCAGCGGTTAGGGGTCCACTTTGATATTTACTCCGGGGAGTCCTTTCACCACCATCAAGCCCAGGAGGTGGTGCAGCAGCTTCACAGTCGAGGCCTGTTGAAAACCTCTGAGTATGTGACTGTGTGTGATGGCATTCAATCAGTAGCTGGCATGACACACTCTAAAGTAAAATAGATCAAATGATCGGGTGGCTCACCTGAGCTTATAACCCCTACGACAACCACAGACGCAAAGGTGTTTCTAAAATACATGACCGATCCTAGCTTTAATGAGTCATGCTCAGTTGGTTGTCACTGATTTTGTATGTGTAGGGTGTTGAACGTTTTGGCAGATGTATTTATTTTGAAACAGGGATTTTAGCTGTTCCGGATGCTTTTAGATTGTGAAATTATAACTTGAGTTGGAAGCTGATTTCATCTTATCTCAGAAATATCCTTATTGGAATGTGTGTTCCAGGAAGTTCAGAAACATTCTTCATTACTCAGTTTGTCCACCAGAGAGCACCGGTTTATTTTTACCCTGTAACGGCTCAGTACATTATCTTTAGATTAGATTAGAATCAACTCAATCGTCACTCTGAGACAACGAAATGCAGCATCTGTCATATACTTCAAATACTACTTAATTAATATTATTAGCATCTCATCAGACAAGGTGGAGACAGATTTCAGTCATTTTTAATACCTGTGATTTCCTTTTGTATAATTTTTCATGTGTAACAATAATTAAATGAATGCTCTTTCATTGTAGTAATCATTGAGATATATATATATATATATATATATATAT